TGGCCAGCTCAGCCCACCAGGGGGCAGGGCTGGCTGGCATGTGGTGCTGGGGGATTGAACCGCGGTCCCTGATGCCTTGCCAAGCTTGTTCCAAGTAGGTGCTTTAGACCACTGAGCCATCTCTCCAGCCCAATACTGCATTTTGTAAATTAAAAAAAAAAAACATCTTCTTTATCCATGCTTTGGTTGATGGGCATCTGTGTTGTTTCCAGAATTTAGCTATCACAAATTGTACTGCCACAAACATGGGTGCACATATATCACTGTGGTATGAGGATTTCAGTTCTTAAGGAAAAATATTCAGAAGGGGAATAGCTGACTTGAATGGGATCTCCAGTCCTAGCTTTCAAAGGAAACTCCACATTGATTTCCATAGTGGCTGCACCCAACTGCATTCCCACCAACAGTGCAAAAGAGTTCATTTCAATCCACAGTTTCTCCAGTATTTGTTATGGCTGAATTATTGATGTTAGCCACTCTTTCTGGTGTGAGTTGGAAACTCAGTGTCATTTTAATTTGAAATTCTTGAATGACCAATGATGCTGAACATTTTTTCATATATTTACTTGCCTTTTTATTTCTTCCACTGAGAACTGTATATTCTTCTCAGATGCCAACTTATGGATTGTGTCTTTGAAAATGAGGAGTCTAATTTTTTTAACTATTTATATGTCCTAGATAAATGGTCTTTGCCAGAAGGACAGTCAACTATAATTTTTCCCAGTTTGTGGCATTTGTTCTTACCCTTTCGGAGATTTTCTTTGAAATGCACAAACTTTTCAAAAAGATAGGACCCACTCGCTTATTGATTCTTTGAAGTATTTCCCATGCAGTTTGGTTTTTGTTCATGAAATCTTTAACAACCCCTATGTCTTTAAGATTTCTACCTATATTTTCCTCAGAAGGCTGTAATGTTTCTCTTTCTACATTTAAATCTTTTGTCTGTTTGACTGTGGCTTTGTGCATGTTAATATGCATGGGTCTAGATTTAGCCTTTGACTTATAGAAAGCCTGTTTTTCCAGAACTACTTATTAAAGAAGCTATCTTTCTTTCAGTGCATATGTTTGACCTTTTATGAAATATAAGGTAGCTGAGTATGTTTGCAATTCTCTTTGCATCCTCTAGTCTGTTCCATTGATCCTGAGGCTTGTCCCTGTTCCAGTACCACGATGATTTTATCACAGTAGCCTTATAGTATAATTTCAGGTCAGGGATTGTGATTCCTCCTGCTTTTCCTGTGTTTTCCAGGATTGCTTTTGATATTCTAGATCTCTTCTAGTTCCAGATGAGTTTGATGAAAGTTTCCTCTAACACTGTGAAGTATACTAATGGTATTTTAATCAGGATTGCAGTGAATCTGCATAACAACTTTGGGAGTATGGCCATTTTCACAATGTTGCTTCTTCCTATCCAGGAGCATGGAATATCTTTTCATCTTCTCAAATCAACTTCTATCATTTTTCTTAGAATAACATAATTTTCACAGTATAAATCTTTCATATTCTTTGAGAGATTGGTTTCTAATATTTCATTTTCTGGATGTTATCATGAAAGTCATGGTTTCCTGAATTTCTCCATTCGGGTTTTCATTGCTTTTATACA